TTTACCCGGATGTTTGTTAAAAAAATTTTACTAATGCAAAAGCCTATTTCACCAGATGCTCTCCTTCCTATCTTAAACTTTGCCAATGCTTGAAGATCATTTCATAAATCTGTTGATTTTTTGGGTGAGAGTTTTGTTGGTTAACATATTTGTTCTTCCAACTCCAACTTGCTCTTTATTTTCTATTTAATTATCTTTACAAGATGTGGAGAAGTAGTTTGCATTTGTTTATTGTTCAAGCTATCTACATTTATTTTGAGGCACATTAATACTTACTTGTTAGACAGATATGCTGATGTAAATAATTATTTATTTTTAGTGCTTAAATTAGGATGTCGATGTTTCTTTATTTGTCTATGAACTTTATTTATTTCATTGCACTATTCATACATTTGGGAAATGTATGTTAGGAAACTAATGGTGAAGATTGAGCCTCTTTAGTCTACTATAGCATTTTGGATAAATATCGGCATTTAAAAATTTTATATTGATGTGATTATTGGTCCTATGTTCAGAAACACGAATGATTTTTTTCCAGGAAATATGGGATGACATTGGGGAAAGTGAAAATGAAAGAGACAAGATGCTTCTTGAGCTTGAACAGGAATGCCTTAACATTTACCGAACTAAGGTGGAGAAAACTAGGAAGTATAAAGCTGACTTGCACCAGTCATTAGCAGACTCTGAGGCTGAAATTGCTAAAATAGCTTCTGCTCTTGGGCAACGAGTCCCATTGGTAAGTAAGCTGTTCCTTTAGGCTTTATGTGGTTAGCCATTGCATTGCTTATTCATTGATTCTTTTGCTTTTCAGTATGAGAACAAGGGTAATATAAAGGAAAAAATTTCCAACATACATCCTGTATTAGAGAACTTGAAGACAAAGAAACAAGAAAGGATGAAAGAATTTCTGGAGACAGAAATGCAGATTGCACAGATTAATGCAGAGATAGTTGGAAACGACCAAGACCTTGGCACTTCTAAGGTTCAGGTCAATGAATTGGACTTGACAACTCAGAAATTGCAAGAACTAAAGTCACGCCTTCAAGTTCTCCAGTCAGAAAAGGTTTTTGAGATCTATTTCATATGGTTTGGCTGTAAGATATTGATGATTGTATGTCTCTAAAAAAAAAATTGTGCTCCTTTTGCAGAGGCTTCGTCTGCAAAAAATTAATGGCTACATAAGTGCAATTCATGACATTTCGGTTGTCATGTCAGTTGAGTTTGAGACCATATTAAGTGATATTCATCCAAGTTTATTCAGTGGCCTAAATAATGCTCAAGCAAGGAGCATAAGCAATGAGACCATTGCCAGATTAACCGATGTATTAAGTTCGCTAAGGCAGATGAAACAACAAAGGTTAAATAAGGTAATATTGTAATATACCATTTAATACTCTCTCAACATTCATCACCCTCTTCCAAACTTTTATACTTAAAGCAATATTCTCTTCGTCCCTCAAAAACATCATTCTTTCCTTGTTTTTGGCCGGCCCAAAAGAAACTTTACAGTCTGTTTTTCCTTGTAAAGTGATAAATGAGTAGCAGAGTAGCTCCCATCACTTCTCTCTAGTAGTCTCTCCATTAGACAAATTTAACCATAAACTTTGTCCTTTTCAACATTTTTCTCAATCTCCATGAAAATCAAACAAAGTAATCCAATTTTTTAAGGGATGGAGGGAGTATATTTCAATATGCTGTAACACTTAACCTTTTTGTTTCAGAGTCATTTGAATGCATGAATGTTGTATAATTCTTGATCAGTTTTTGGTATTGTTGCTCATTCTATATTGTTAAATCCTAATTTTCATACTTGGGATTTATTGTAGACTCACCAGTCACTTTCATTTTTGTGAGCAAATGAATGTGTCTCCAAATTCTTAACCATGTTCCCTTTTTTGTTTCATGTTCAGCCAAGTTATGAATTTCATATTATAACTTGACAAGTGACAGAGCTTATGAATTTTGTGTTAGTTATTGTTTGTGTAGCTAATAGAAGTGTTTTGCATAGCTATTAACTTTTTAATTAGTGTGCCTTAGTTTTATGGGAATTGTGTTTTGATGCAGCTTCAAGATCTAGGTAGCACTCTATTAGAGCTGTGGAATCTTATGGACACACCAATTGAGGAGCAACAGAGATTCAAACATGTCATTTGTTTGAATTCTTCCTCTGTAGATGAGGTGTTGAGTAAAGGATCTCTAGCTATTGAAGTCATTGAGCTGGTAATGCATTTGTCTTTGAACAATTGGCACACATCGATGTGTGTCCCATTTCATCTTTGCTCCTACACTTGAGTAATGTGTATTTTTTTCCCTCGCTGTGCTTCCTCTTTTGTTAGACTGAAGCTGAAGTAGAGCGCTTAAGTGCTCTAAAATCTAGTAAGTTGAAAGAGTTGATTCTTAAGAGGCAAAATGAGCTTGAGGAAATCTACCGGAGTGTTCATCTAGATGTAGACAGTGAAACAGCCCGCCAGATACTATTGAAACTTATGGAATCTGGTATGTTCAAGCTGTTAACCTTCTAACACTTCCACTTGTATCTTGTATTCCATCTTTGAAGTTCCTGAATGTGCCATCTATTTGGGATGCGTACAGAAGATGTATAAATGCATTTACCAGAATTTTAACAAATCCTGCATTTAACAGCCAGCTAGTCTGGTTAGTTAGGAATATTCCTCATTTCAGACTCTTGTGTTAGTTCACTACAAGTCTTGAGCAAACATACCTTTGGGGCCGTTTTACTACAACTGACTTTGTAAAAGGCAGCAGAATGATGTATTATTGGTCTACCCATAGTTGTGAATGGCGAATGGCGAGTGGCGGGTGAGAAGTTCTTTTTTATGGCGAGAAGCGTGGCGAGCGGCGGGCGGTCAAATGGCGAACATTTTATATATATATATATATATATATATATATAAAGTTTAAGTCTAAACTTTTAGTCTTAACTCTGTATCAAACATAATTATCAAAGTAAAACATGAGTTATTGGTAAAAGTTAAAACAAAAAACAAAAAAAAACAATAAGAAAAGTAGAAAACAAAAAAAAGTAGAAAATAGCGAAAATAAAGACAATAAATTATATCTATAAGAAATTAATAATATAAAGACAATAAAGAAACAATAACCATTCAAAAAAACAATAAGAAAGGTAGAAAACAAAAAAAAGTCTGAGTGTGACCTGCGAAGTGTGGAGTCTGGACTTTACTTGCGCCCGCTCTGAGTCTACGAAGATGTGCGTTGTTCGGACTCGGGAGAGAGAGGAGGGGCTGCGCCGGCTGAGGAGAACTTGAGGAGGGCAGGAGCCTGCGTCGGGCTGGGAGTAATTCGATCGACGGCGAGAGGGCATAGGCAGAGGCGAGGCAGTTGAATCGATGAAGTGTTTCGATCGAGATATAGGTCAGTGCGTTTATAAAAAAAGTAAAGGTTTTTAATTAAAAAACCCTTGACCTGCGTCTGGCGTAGATGGCGAACGCCTTTCGACTCAGAGTCTGGCGTCCATGGCGACCGCCATTGGCGAGAATGGCGTAAACCGCCTCGCTAGGTCTGAAGATGGCGTCACATGGTCGCCACACAGCCATAGGCGCCTTAGGCGAGAATGGCGAGCGCCATTCACAACTATGGGTCTACCAATTACATTTGAAATGATACTCTTCTTAATCAAGAAACCAAAATCTTATGTTTCCTAGTGTAGAACAAGTAACACTTGATGCTTTTGACACCATGAAGGCATATTTTCAATTTTTTTTAAACTCATATTTTCAAGTTTATCATCTCTATATACATCAAATCGGACGTTACATGAAACCAGGATTTTACTTAAATACTATCTGTATTTCTTATGATAGGTGATCTGCATGATCTTCTTTCAAGTATGGATCGTCAGATTACCAAAGCAAAAGAGCAAGCTCTGAGCAGGAGAGATATCTTGGAAAAGTTGGAGAAATGGAAACACGCATCTCAAGAGGAAATTTGGCTCGATGAATATGAAAGGGTAACACAAGAATGTATTCTGCCGATTCACTGTGCAAATTTTACTTAAAACATGCCATGAGCTGCATTTTTGCTTGGCAGGATGAAAACCGCTATAGTGCCGGGAGAGGGGCTCACATTAATCTGAAACGGGCTGAAAAGGCGCGGGTTCTTGTAAGCAAGATACCATGTAAGCTTCTCCTAACCAGTCATGTCTTACAATACGAAAATGTTCAGAAGCTTCAATCATGATGATAATCAATGCCCACACTGCAGCTCTTGTCGAAAACTTGGTTGCAAAAATAAAAGCTTGGGAGGCCGAGAATGGAATCCCTTTTTTATATGACAAGGCATGCATTTCCTCCTTCCTTTCGTTCATTCACACAACACTCATCTTTCCCAGTTGTAGCACATTAACCACACCAGATTTCTGTGCCTGCAGGCTCCATTGCTCCTTACGTTAGAGGAATACACCATTTCTCGGCAGGAGAAACAGGAGGAAAAACGCCGGAACCGGGTATTTGGCTAATTTTAACCTTAAACAATAATAAACCATGATTAATAATAGGTAGGAGTGAAAACTCTCATCTCCTGATGACAATGCATTAATATTCTAGGAACAAAAACGGCTCCAAGAACAATTTGCTGCCGAACAAGAAGCTCTCTACGGTTCCAAGTCCACCGGGAAGAAGCAGCCGGGGCAGAACACAAGTGCCATCATGGGCACGCCAAGTCGCCGTGGACCCCTAACTGCTCGGCACGGCTTATCATCTGCTGGCAGCGAGAGGAGAGAGAGTGTCAGAGCTGCCGGTAACATCATTCCCATAAACTACGTGGCCCTTGCGAAAGACGACCACATCTCCAGAGGGAGTTGAAGAAGTTTCAACATTGGCATAGAACATATTATACTATACTGAAATGCTTTCCTTCTCTGTTGCAGAGAGTAGTAAATGTCCTGTTTCTCAACTTTGCTCTAAAATTTAGAATACTTTCTGGCAGTTTATAGATTGACCAAATATAAAGAAATTGAAGTTTACAACAATCATATTCTATTCGGAATTCTGATGGGTCAGTAGTAAACTTTACAATGCAAATTATGCTATTACCTAAGCAAGAAACCTGCAGATACTGAAGGAAAAAAACAAAAACAAAAACGAACCATATTTTATACATGACGTAATAAAAATATATCCTGTCTGATACACACACACACATATGTATATACTACACGTATATTTGACTAGAAAGCTACATGCTCCATCCAGCCCAAGCAATATCACCCATAATGAATGAAGTTAGAACTGTATGAAAACAGAGCAGTGGGAACAATCTCTCTGTTTTTACCCATAACCCACACGCCTCGGATCAAAGCAGCGACTAATATCCGTGTGACGAAAACGAAGTCACGGGTGAGTGAATTTTATTGCTATTATTGAGTAGGGAGTATTATTATAAGGACGATAATTAGGATGCATGAACAAAAAAGTCCTCATCAATAATAGCAATATCAGCAGGGTCTCCAATCCAAGGTCTCCCTTCTCTCCATTGGAATTTGATCCTTAGTTTCCCGTTCGCGTCTACTCCAACCACCACACCTCTGCTAGCATGAGTCTCCATACCCCACCCCCACCTAGGCGCCACTAGCCCTTCTCTGAGTCTCACCTTGTCCCCAACTTTAAAAGGTCTTACCTTCTCCATTTCGGACGCCTTGCAAATCCATAGCCTGTCAAGAAAGCAGAACGCCACCCAGAGATCCCCACCTTCTTCTATCCGGTGCACCACCCCTACGCTTGTGTGACAAACCTCACCCCATTGGTGTGTTGGGAGGGAAACACTTGGTCTCACCCTGACCCAATCACCAGTTTTGATCTCTTCCTCCTCCACAATGTCCACTTCCGAAGGGTCCAACACCCATGATTTTGACCCCGCTGGGGTGTAGATTCTCAGCTTGCCATCCCCGTCAATTCCGGATATTGTTCCGACGTTGACATGGTTGTGCCCGGACCACCCGAATCTTGGTTGTTTCACAGAGTTCTTGACCCTAACCCGCTGCCCGACCCGGAACTTTTCCACTCTTTCGACATCACCGTGATGCCCGGTCCAATTCTCTTGCTCTCCGCAGAAAGACACTGAAATACTTCCATCCCATTCGTTTCCTTCATAAATAATCCCCTGCACAACTCCAATGCTTCCCGGCGATATCGATTTCCAGCTCTGAGAGTTCCCTCTCAACTTCACCCATTCCCCCACTCCAAACACCTGCTCTGGCTCGAGGTCAGCCGGGTCCCCCTTCCAGAAACCCTGTAAGCCGAAAAATGCAACCCTCACCTCACCATCAGCATTGACGCATGTTATCACACCTCGTGAATCTGGCTGAGCGCCTCTCCATCCCCACCTGGGCTCAACAAGACCTGCCCGAAACCTAACATGCTGCCCGACCCGTAAACCGCAGACCTTTTCAACATCAGTGTAATGAGTATGCAATCTCCCTTTCCGGAAGCAACAAGCCAATTCTAAATATCCGGTATCTTGTACACTATGTACAATGGCGAAGCCCTCTTTCCCAATGCTATACCAGTCATAACTCGGTCTTGTCCCCAAACTGGGTTTTGAACGTACCCAATCCCCTACTTCAAACCCTGGAAGCAATTCTGCATCTCCGGGTGACACCTTCCAGAAGCTTTGTCTCCCAGCAACAGCGACCTAAAAAAAGATTAAAGGTCAAATTCCATCAGCAAGTCAACAAATTCATAGCGAATTGAGGTTTAGCAATCCATCCACCATGGAGCTACTGCAAGTACAGGTCCATATTTGTCTGCAGTAACTTTTCCCCTCTTTCAAATCAATATGGACCATCTTTGTAGCAAGTCCAGGGGGCGGGGGGTTAAAGCTTATATAGATAAGTGACAGTTCATAGTTGGCTTGGGAGCTTGATATCACATAGATGAATCCCTATTCTCTTTAATTACAGCCATGTCAATCCACTGTCCAACAAAAAATCGGTGCCCTTATTTGAACTATACTATGAAAATGGCCAACATGAGGATCAATTGTAGTTTATTTATGAAAGATGTACAAACTGTATAAAAGGATAAACACCTAGAGTTGAAAAAAATGAATTATGCATTTAAGAATCTGACAAGTTTGAAGGTCACTAAAGGCAAGAGAAGAATAATTTGCAACAAAGTCTGATCAACTCCTGGTTTTATGAATTCATATATTATGCTTTTTTTTTACTTTGTGTTATCGCTATCAATATAGTCCGAATTTTTTTGGTCTAACTTTTGTTTCTACATATTTTCTGTACTCCAAATTTATATCCATTGCCAATGAAGTTAAAAGAATCGCAATTGACAATAATTTAGATTTGGGTAAATAATGGACTAAAATAAAAATGGCTCATTAAATTTCCGTTGCATTTTTACTTTCAGTGATGTTTTGGGTGGTAAATGCAGCAGCGTATAGGGTCTAACAGATACCTATTTTTAGATATGGACAAATGTTTTTTTCTCTACCAAGTAAATATGAGCAAGTCAGTAAGCTTACATTCAAAGCACCATCCATGTCAATTCTCACAATTTTGCCTACAGTAGCTGGAGTCTCATTTGACCATCCAAGTCTGGGGTGAGTAGCACATGACATTACACGAATCTCTTGTCCAACTTCAAAAGGAGATGCCTTCTCAATGTCAGTCACCGAACAACAGAATGGTTTGTTCCTGAAGCAAAAGGCAACTCCTACATCACCGTCTTCTTCTAAACTGTGAATTAAACCAATGCTGTGCCTTGTTATGTCCTCCCACCCATACTTTGGTGAGGTTACTGAAGCCTTCACCCTAACCCAGTCACCTACCTGGTTATGTAAATTGAAATGAAACAATATATCATACAAAGGGCCGTGTGGTTGAATGCTTTTTCAGCTTATCAGCTATTTCATACCAAACTTGAACTTATTTGAACAGATTTACCAAATTGGTTGATAAACAAAAAATTAGAACACAAATTACAACCATCTGTCGATTATCCCTTCAACGACAATTCCAGCCATCTCAACCAAATTTATCCTTATTAAATAGGCTCAAAAAGAGAGAAATGGTGGAGCACAAACCATACCTTGAAGTCCTCAACCTTTTCCATGTCAGAAGGATCTGCCTGCCATGCTATAGGCCTGTTGGGAATTTCAATAATCAAAAGACCATCGGCCTCAATATCAATCACTTTTCCGACGCTGTGATGTGTTTCCCCACCCCAAGCATATCTTGGTTCAGCAACAGATCGTTTCACACAGACACGATCGTGAATCTGTGGAAGAGTAACTCTCAAAGTAAGCAATGAAACAGCCAAACAGGAAATAATTACTCCGTAGTTCACAAGTCAAAAGAAGAAGATATCATCTTACTCTGAATGGTTCAACTGGTTCAACTTCCTCTGGCTCACAGTGCCATGGGTGAGGAAGGTAGCACAGTTCCAACAAGAGACTGTTATCTGGCCGTATGCAGTACACTATACCAATGCTTCCAGGAGTTACAGTTCCTAACCCATGTTTAGCTGATGTAAGATTGGGACGAATACGAACCCAATCCCCAACCTTGAACTCCTCTACCCGTTCCATTTCTGCAGGATCAGCTTTCCATCCCCTAGATGCTCCAGGAAACCCAACACGGAGTACACCATCATCATCCACACATAGTACAGTTCCGATACTGTCACGTGCCTGACCACGCCAACCAAATCTGCAGTAAATTTGATGGATGGTAAATGATCAACAAAATGTTAATGTCAATTCGCCAAGCCCTCATCCACTGATGATAGTATTTCAGCAAATTTATCTAGAAAAGAGCGTTCTTGACTTGTAAAAAACCAAACATATGCCACATTAATCCCAGCCCATTGCGCATCTACATTTTTTTCCCAGCACAACACTTTTACAACATTTGAAAATAGTAATCGCAATGGAAAAAGAAATGCCATGTCTGAATTTTAAAACACATCAATCAAAAAAGGTATGCAATTCAGAAAAGGCAGATAGGAGCATAATAGAAGTGAAAGGTTAACCTTGGTTCTTTGACATCAGGCTTAAGTCGTACATGATGCCCCCTGTCTAGTGGAATAACTTTGACAACTTCATCTGTTAGTACTCTGGCAGCCTCTCCAGAGCAAAATGAAACAACAAGATTATTCTTGTCCAGGACATTTTGTACGAAACCCACACTCTTATGCTTTGCACCTTGCCAACCATAGTTAGGTTCTGTGACACATCTCTTGAATTTAACCCAATCTCCTATATCATATCTGCATGCCACATGAACCATATTACATAGCTAATAAAACTCTACATGATTGCCTACTCAAAGCACATAATAATAAGATAAAAATTGGAAAATTATCCTAGAGCATCTTCTTACATTGTTGGAGACAAATAAATTCCCTTCTCCATAAGAGCCTCCATCAAATCTTCGGATATCCATTCACGAGGTAGAGCCTCCAAGTAGTCACGTAATGTTTTGCCACTGCAAAATTCAGAAATTATGTACCAACCAAGTCACAAGAGTTGAACATGTCGCGATGCTGAAAAAACATATTACCAAAAAGTCCATAAGAGTTAAGTAGTAATACCACTGTTTGGATTTCAAGCTCACCTGTGATTTCTAGCTTCAACTGCACTATCAGGATTCCTGAGCATGATGACAATCCATTGAAGATTCTCACGTATCATATTTGCAGAAAAAGCTGCAATGTGGAAAGCATTGTCCCCTTCATCATCCTGATATTAAAGAGAAATGAAATTTGCTTATTTGAGGAATGAAAAATCGAGGAAGGAGAACAGCATGATGGGTGAGAAACATAAGACTGAATGGATTGTTATTGAAGGAAAGCAAAACTCAAGACATCCAGAATGCAACAGAACTGATCAACGTAAAAAATACTAGTAAAAACAACAGCAACAACAATTATAATAATAGTAACAATAATACTAATGATAACAATGATAAATTGTGTAAGAATTTAAATCGTATTGTTTTTGTTCTAGAGATCACAATATGTATCACAAACCTGCAAGTTGCAATTTGCCCCGGCAGAGAGAAGAAGCCCAACACATGCTTTTGCACCTCTATTCAGTGCCACGTGAAGAGGTATGGTATTATGCACATTCCTGATATTCACATCAACTCCAGAATCGAGAATGATCTAAAAATAATTACCGGTGCTACTTAAATTAGAAAAGACTGACACCAACAATTCATGAAACATTGACAATAAGCTTTCTGGTCCGTGATGGAAGAGGAAATCATTTATTTATGGCAACAAACCAATTCATTCCACATCTTGCCTACCTTGACCAACTCAAGATCATTTATCATGGCAGCAGTATGCAGAGCGGTTCGAAAATGCTGGGTATCTTGAGCAGTCGGATCTGCTCCAGCAGCTAAAAGTACTTTTACCAGTTCTCTGCCCTCTGCAAAGAGAAAATGAGATAGCTTTAAGGATGTCATAGTCCAAAGAGTATCATGTCAGTAGCAAATTAGCAACCATTTACATAATAGTTATTGCCGGCACAAGTTCTACCTGCTTCACGATCTTTCTTGATAGAAGCTGCCATACACAGTGCTGTGCCAACAGGGCTTGGGATATCAATGGCACTAGAAATCTCTTCACTAGATGCAAGTTCTATCCATCTTTTAACAACAACAGCATTCCATGTTGCTATGCACAAGTGCAATGGTCTGTTAAGTGAAAGTCTTAAAAGGGTAACACTCTCAAGGTTGTAGGTAAGAGAAGGAATGATAAAGCAGGCATGCAACATCAAAGATCTATCCAACCCTATTAGAAAACACAAGGATGAATTATTGGGTGAACAAAAGTGGACATACAATCTAATTCTTGATTTCTTGGTAAAAATAGAGGCCTTCATTTTGGGTTTCTTGAGTAAACACATAAGAAGCACAAGAAAAACCAATGCTTGATGCAGTAAGATGGGGGTGCTAAGCTTGAGAACATTCGCTAGCAGAGTAACAGGCAGACTGCTGACTCCAGAGGTTGGGCAATGGCCTGTGAGTAATTTAGATTTCCTTCAGGATTAATAGGGTGCTTATGTTTACTTCCTGTTCTTTTTCAGGTCAGATTTATCTAACATTTTGGTTCAAGTTTAGTTTCAACTTTCAAGAGTTGCTTGTTTATAAGGAATAGAAGTAGGGAATGTTAAATTGGTAATAGAAGGTAGATACAGGATATCTATAATGGGACCCTTTATACCTCAATCATTCCCCAATATGTAATAACTACCTTGCTCCCATTAATCAAATTCATTAATCAAACTCATTACTTGATCATTCACACAAGCATTGTCATTGTGAAATTTGAACCAAGCAGGCACTGATAACTTGAAGATGTTTGGTATGTCATATAATTCAGAGAGAGGAAGTCTTCATTTAGAGGCATAAATACGGGTTTAGAAGTTAATTCATTAATGGAGCTCATCATAGATTCACATGTTATCGTTGAACAAAACAACAAAAGAATGGCATCAGCACTTACGTCAAAGTTTTGGAATTCAAGATACCCATTGATTTACAGCCTCCATTTTCCAAAATTACAACAGCACAGTCTACAAATTTCTTAGCAACAGCTCTATGAAGCACAGATTCACCCTCATCGTCAACTGCATTTGGATCAGCACCCGCCAGTAATAATTCCTTTTAAAATGACATGAAGTGCTTGAATGAGGAAGAGAAATGAAATAATACAAGCAAAAAACTGAAATTGGAAAACAGCCAGCAATATTTTTCCCCATGAAGATTAAGAGTAAGTGCATTGAGGGGTAAGATAGACATGTATATCATTTCGCTAGACACTAGATTCCATTTCTCTTCAATGGCTCTATTCTTTTTAAACAAAAAAGAAGACCTCTATGGTTTTGACTCTAAAAATACATCATTAATACTCAGCCTAGTTTGTTCCAACATTTGAGTGCAAAAACGAGAAACCTACACGCATGCAATCTGGTTGTCCATGGTAGGCACAAACATGGGCAACCGATGGACCAAGCCCCTCCCTCAATCTTGATCTGACATTTGCATGTCTCTTGATAAGAGCGTGAACACAATCAGGTGATCCAGCTGCCAAAGCAAATACAAGTGGAGGATCACCATCTTTGTCCAAGACATCAACATTTGCCTCCGGGTATTCCAAAATAGCCTCAACAAGTTCCACACTACCACGTCTACAAGCAAGATGGAGAGCTGTTTGACCGTCGGGGTTTTGTGCGTTAAGTAGAGAACGTACTGAATTGCCACTTTGTCTACTGTGACTCTTGCTCAGTAATTCCCTGCGTGCAAAGGATGGGTAACACAATGTTAAATTCACATTGAAAAAATCTGTCTGTTACTGCAGGAATATAAGGTAAGAAGACCAACCGAACAGCATTCAAATTCCCTTCAGAAACAAGTCTGTGCAGATGACTGGGAACGTCTAAGGAAACCTCCATAGTTGAGGCTGGAGGGGGATCCATCCCATTTGTTCCAGAATACTGATTAATGTTGCTGCATTTTAATAGTTAAAGTTGATATGTGTAAGTAATTAAACAGAATATATTGAACTCCCTACCCCTTCAACATACTGTGGTAGTTATTTTAGAAGCTGCGGATTTTAATACCAAGTTACAAAGACATTTTGGAAAAATAACTCCATATTAAGCTGTTAAGAGAGTATATTGACAAAACATTCTTACTTATCCGGGCTAGCTGGAGTTGTACGAGGAATTCCTTGCAAGTGTCGAAGAAATATTGCCAACATTGCATTAAAGGATGGCCTTCTGGAGGCCTTAAATTGCAAACATTCACCAATCATCTTCCACAATTCTGAAGGTATACCAACACCCACAACAGCTGCATACTGAGGAGGTTGTTTGCGCGCCTTGACAACAGCCTGATATATCTCTTCTGTGCTTAATCCGGCCCACCTGCATTAAGATTGGTCATTGTGTATCAAGCCATGCCATTACTAGCACTGAGAACATGTAACTTGATGGACACAAAACTCATGAAATCAGGTTCACATACGGAATTGAACCAGTGCACATTTCCACCAACGTACATCCAAAGCTCCACGCATCAGACTCCGGAGATATTCCAATGGAACCATCCCAGAAAAGGTTCAATGATTTCTTTACTGGCTCCCAAGCTTCAGGAGCAGTGTAGTTAGGACTAAGCATTGTACAATCCATGCATGAATGGATTCTTGAAGACTCGGAGTCTGATTGAGCCTTGCGACAAGCAGGTTTCTTTAGAATTGCCGGAAGCCCATAGTCTGAAACCAGTGCATGACCATTCACATCTAATAGAAGATTGGATGGTTTTATATTCATACAAACAACACCAGCTGCATGAAGTTCACCCACCCCACGAGAAATGTCTGCCCCATATCTGCAGTTAAACATCAAATGGCACATCACGGCCAGGGCATTCATAGAAAGCCACATCTAGAGTATCAATCACAAACCATTAAGAATTGGTGAAATTGGAAATCATGCTGCCCCGACAGTACAATATTTGACATGCATATACTCAAATAATAACATGCCATGTTGAAATTAATCCCAAACATTGCATTTTAGATGAACATATAAAAATTGATGGCTATGAGGCTTAAACCACCAAACTATAAAAGAAAAACAGTATAGCATTATGTTCTAAAAGGCACTAGATCCTAAGCTATGATGCATGAAACTTCTAAGGAAGACTTTTGGAAACTTCTAAAAAAATTCTGAGGAAATCTTCATTCAAAGGGGATTCATTTGAAATTGGTGTTCCCTTGTGTCGCGTTTCACATTTTTTGCATTTCCAATTCTATGCAACATAGGTGTTAAGCGAACAACACACAGGGCCTAGTGCCTAAGAGCCTAAACATAAATTAGCCAGGGCAATGAAAATATATATTTAATAAATATTTCCTCCTCAATCTTACATACTTAGTTTTTATTATATTGTCCTTTTGAAAATGTTTTATCCTGTTCTATTGCCTGCCTTTATTGCTAAACAGTGTTTTACCACATTGTTCACACTACTTTTCCATCTTTGGATTACATCAAAATTTTTACAAAAATCATCAAAATTTTCATAAATTTTCACGTAATTTCAAATTCTTAACTACACCCAAAGCATCACAAACTTCTCTTTAGCCAAGGTTCTGCATTAAAATAGCCTCTCTACTCTAGACGCATTGAGATAGTGCAAAAAGAAAAGGTAGACCTTTTGGACTTTTGGTATAGACCAAAAAGGAAATGTGTGCCTTTTAATGAGACATATGGATTATAGTTTTAAAAATAAAATACTTCATTCATCCCTCAAAACTTTTCACACCATTTTTTACCATCCCATAAACTTTTTCCATTTCCTTTTTAAAGCATGAGATTTTGGGTAACAAGTAACAACTAACAGTACTTTGATATTCAAGTTGTAAAACTCATAGAGGTGCAAGCAGTGGATACAAGATTTGAATTTGGGATGGAAGACATTGGTTTACATTTTCCAATGGCAAAACAGGAAATAGGCCATTTGTTTGAAAACTAGGGACTAGGAAGTGTGCTTAATGATTCACAATTAACTCTGATGCCTTTAAATCAGAAAGGCCTTCTCGGTCACATTATATATGGAGGCAGATTATTAGAAAAAAGAAATGCTCCAGCATAACTGCTGCCAAAGAGCAATTCCACTCCAATCTAAGAAAGCATATATAGCATTCATAAATGAGGTACTCCTTAATAACTTGTACTTGAAAAGCTGCTTGTCATTATTCCATCCATTTATTACTATGAGATAAGTCACCAAACTTCATGCCATCCTAACAGTAAAAACTAAAAATTTATAATGATGCCATAAAAATGTCCCCATCCAATGATAAGTAAACATTCGACTCTGCTTTGTTTTTCATTGCATTATTATTATTATGCGCCATGTGATTCCATGTAATTATCTGATTACTTAGTACTTACAAGTGACAACTTACAAATGGTCTCATCATTACATGAGGGTGATGAGACACAAAGAAAAAACTGAAAATGTGACCACTGAATTCCCAACTTACCAAATATTACATTTTGAACAAAAGGATTCATTGATTAGTCTAGCACTCTAAAGGAAAAAGTAAAAACTGTTCCAATGATTATATAGGCATTACCAAGGTACTCCATGATTATGTCCTGTGGAGTAGACTAGTTTAAATTGCTAGGAAACTGAAATGGAAGTGCAATGCATTGTTCTCTCACCATAGCAAGAACCTACCTGAAATAGTTACATATACTAATGTAACATTTAGGAACCCTTAATATTCTCCTATCCCCTATCAGCTTTGTGTACAACCTAGGTTACTGAGAAAGTCAAGAGCATAGTGCTTGAAAGTTGAAACAAATGAATAAAAGAAAAATGCTCATGAGCATGAACATTATAGAGGAAAATATCTTACCTGAGGATTTGCTCAAGTGTGAGGCGTCCTTCATTCCGTTGCATCTCAGTCTGGACAGAACCCTTACATCTATCCATAACCAAACACAAACTGCTATTGATCTTTGTTACACCATGAAAAGCACATACATTTCTACACCACATGGATGCCCTCTTCAAATTCTCCAGCTTCTCCTGCACCCAAACTGGATCCATTTCCTCTCCTATTGCTACCTTCTTAACCACCACTCTATGGCGGCACCGCTCTAATCTACCACTACTGTGGTCTCCCAATGCAACAGCTGCCCATATCTCAACCCCAGGCTTCCTCCCATCCCCACCTATCTTCCTAATTAGTTTCACCTCTGGGTGAACACTTAGCTCTAACCTCCCACCAGCTTCAACCCCACATCCTGTACTCAAAGCTGAGTGGGTTGTACGCCTGCTGCCCAGTTCACGCTCATCCCTGCCTCCTCCATTTTCACGAAGAAACTCTGGCCCATCCTCCTCCTCCTCCTCATCCCCTTCTTCGTCGCTGGAATCCCTGGCCGTGGTGTCGCGGATTAGAGCAAGGATTGCATAGTTCTTCTTGAGTGCATTGACGGAGTTGCCAACCAGAGACACATGGCGGCAGCGGGGGCAGGATAGGTTGGTGTCGGGTGAAGCAGAAAACAATCTGGAAAGGCACTCCCGACAATATCCGTGGCCGCATTGGAGCAACAATGGACACCGCTCGTCCTCGTTATACGAATTCTGGCACACTGAACAGCTCGGGATCCTCATATTTCTACTTTAATTCCCCAGATTTTACCGCCCAGACTCTAATTCACGCTTCTACTCATCTAAATGTCGTAAAGACCAAACCTTTCCTCTTCTTGGCTGCTAAAACTGCTCCTGAAGCTGAGAGCTAGAACGAAACTCAATTCTCTAGCTTGATCGGTTCTTGGAGTGATTGATGGAACTCAACGAAGCTTCAAAATAGAGATGGTGTGAAAGAACCGCAGATCCATGGAAGCAGAAGATTCTCGTCTAGTCTATACCAGTGTTGTTGGGCAGGGTTTTACTATGGAGAAATGCCAAATCGAGAAAGAGAAACATGATAAAATGAATTTGGTAATTATACCCAAAAAAACTTTGGTAAAAACTAAAAACATGGTAAAATGTTTTAAAATGAAAAAAAAATACTCCCGCCGTCCGAAAACGAATTACAATTTCTTTGGGACATACTTCTAGATGATTTTTATATGTTTTATTGATTATTTAATAAAATAAAATATGTTTATCACTTTTGTTTTATAACAATTTCAACGTAGTTTTTATAATATGTATATTTAATCATTCATACACGATTTTCTAAATAAATTAATTTTAAAAAATACTAGGTTTTACTAAAAATGAAAAAAATACCTAAAGTGTTGGAAACACTTGTCTATGGTATACGGAGTATAAAGCAAAAACCAAGGCAAAGGTTAAAAACCAAGTCTTCAAGGTCATAAACCACGGGTCACCAAGTCAAAGACCATTTCCACATGTTTAGACCAACGACCAAAAATTGAGAGTGGTTTTTGAAAACTAAAAGTATGAAAAACATTTGATTGTGTCTAAAAGCAAAAATCAAAGATAAAAACTCAAAACTATTTGGCTAAAACGAACACCAATACGTCGAACACTAATAACCGAAGGTTATGGTTTTTGGTTGGGCAAAGGTAAGAAAATTTTGGAAAGCAATTTTGGGCAAGATGAAAATATGAAAACCATGATTTTATGCATATGAAAAATTACTTAAGTTTGGGCAAAAGCTAAGATAACTTAAATGTTGCTCTTACATTGAGTTCTACCTAATGACCTACGTCTTGGGTTCTTCACTCTTGAACTCTTGAGCACTTTTTTATTTGTCTTTACAACCTTGGCATAATCTTCACTTCAAACACACGTTCTTTTTCATCAACATATGCCTTTCTTCATTGTTTGTCAACCACAACATCTTGACTCCATTATTTATCATTCATCAAAACCTACACTTGGAAATCATGCTAAAATACTAATTCACATATTAAAAATTTTCACATGAGTTCTAACACTAAGGTTAATGCTCGCCTTAAGAAAAATAATGATTCTAGAAGAACATAAAAATATAGTATAAATAACCATTAAGATCATCTTTAAACATGAGATAAACTAGAAATAGTGGGTCATCTACAACCTATTGATAATAGGTTACTTGGAAACTGTTGGCTATATATGAATCAATTATCTTGTGGCAGAGGCTATGTGAGCCAAATCACACTCGAATGTTATCAGTTCTTGTGTGTGCTTAACGCATCATAAGGCTAAGGTATATTTATATTTTCTTAACACAAATTGGTTTCAGAAGAGTTAGTGTCTGAGGTAGGTCCTATAAGTGATATTAGATCCAAGCTCACGATTGATTTCCAGCAAGAGCAATTGATAAGGGGCAAATTGTTGGCCATGTGTGCATCGATTGTCCTGTGGGAGAGAGTATGTGAGCCAAGTCAAACTTGAATGTCGTCGGTGCTTGTGTGTGCTAAATGCAATATAAGGCTATGGTATATATAGGTACACTTCCTCTAACACTAATTAGTTTTTGAAGAGTTAGTAGTGCCAGAAGTTCACAAAAACTAAAGGTCGCAATCGTATCCTGCCACTAAATCTAGAAGATTTGATAAAACTAGTTCAAACTAATATAAGGTTTGAACACTAGAACTTTAAGAAAACACCAATTTATACTGGTTTGAGAAATCTCTACTTTAATATCTTAAGGCTCATCTTTAAAGATTTTCAAATCCACTAAAAAGTCTCAGGGGGTCTCTCGATCGAACTTCATCGAAGCACCGCATCAATTTTTTCAAACTCTTGCCAATAGGATTCCACCCGGTATTTCACAACGAATGTCTTGAAATGCATATAACAAAGATTTCACAAAGATCTTAAATTGTCTTTCAAGGATTTACACGCTATCTTTGAACCTTTTAACCAAGAATTTCTCAATTATAACTTACCATTACACTCATAAAATTTAACGATTATACTTGAACGTAACAAGATGTGTGTGAAACACATAAATTGAGCTCTACACCTCATCCTATTACATTATAAAGAATTAAGATCAACACTTGGCCAGTGTAGAATGAAGCTATACACTAAGGAAATTACAAGATCAAATATATCAAATATGAGTGTATATTCCTAAACCACAAGCTCTTTGTGTGTATGTGTGTTTATTGAAATGAATATAAAAACAGGCTCTGTAAAGCCAAAATACCAAAAATTAAGAACAAATAGTTTGACACGCGTGAAATATGAAATATAGAAATCTGGAGCTTGAGTACTAATGATAAATGAAGGATTATGATCATATTTGTAGTAAAAAGTGTTTTGTGACTGTTTAAAACCCTATGAGAGTGATTTTTGCAGATTATATTTGATTAAATTCAAAATCAAGAATTAGAAAAATTTACCAACTATCTGATAGCTTACAATGCTCTCGTTTCATAATGTTACGGTTTAGTTTTTATTCTGTGAGCTTTATATTTTATTGCATTGTATATGTACTTTTCTTGCTTTATGTATCCATTGTGATCCTTTTTGTGTGCAGCATGAGTCGGGGGTCTCATGAAAACATCCTCTCTACTTTTGGGTAGGGGCAAGGTATGCAAACACACACCCTTCCTAGACCCTACTTTTGTGGGATCCAACTGGGTTGTCGTGTAACAACAGATCTGATAGCTTGTTTGGCACCTCGGTATCGTTAACAGTAGTATGGTACCAAGTCACGGTAGCTTTAAACCCCATATATGTAAAAAAGTCCCTACCAATGCGATCACATGATAGTGCCCTGCCGGTAGGCGGTACCAAGGTACTCCCCAACTGTACTAAGGTAGCGTTAGTGGTACTAGACTATTTTCTTGGCTATTCTTATTTTGGAAAAATTCTTTCCAATTTTGTTCAAAATCTTTTAGATATTTGAAAGTGCTTATTATATGGTTTTTTAACAAGATTGTGAGTGTATATTAAACTTGTGAATATAGATATAGATAATCATATAATTACATTTAATTCTACTTATATTCTATGATACTTTGGTGTTGTTGGTTAACAAGGCTTCGATAATGCGGTGAAAATTAAAATTTAATGCCCAAACTTTGATTCCACCCAAGATTAACTTTCATAAATTACTAATTATTGTAAAGAAAATTTTACATAAAGTATTAAAAACTACAAGAATATTGTTGAGAATATATAATACATATTAAAATATATAAAATTATTTTCAATAAATATTTAACACTTTTAATATTTTATAGTAACTATAAAAAGGAGAGTATACTATAAAAAGGAGAGAAATTAAATCTTATCAAAATAGGATTGAATAATATCGAAATAGCCTCTTGAAGAGAGAGAGAGATGAATATGAGATATATGGAAAGCCACAAATATATATTCAATCAAAATAAACATTTCCCAAAATCCTTACACCACAAATCAATGTTTCCCTGCTTTCTGTTACAAATGTGCTCATACAAATTACAACAGATGGAGAAGGTGAACGGTCCCAAAAGATCTATATGGATTACAATAAATAAATAGTTTTCGATCTTCAAATGTCTTGCTTGACAGTGAGGACTTTCTGCACTGGATGGATTGAAGCAGAAACTGGAACGTGGAACTTGTGAATAAAATCTATAAAAATCAAACACTATAGAAGGCAGCGGAGTCGCATAACCCGAATATAAGGGTTAGTGAACCGGGTTGCGACTAATACGGTATCCGAAACATACAATATTTTCAAATAATTAAAAACATCTAATCAGATCCCATTTTAAATTCCATCATTCGAGTAAAATAAAACAATATGAAAGCTGTTAGTTCCATGGTGTTGGCTAATCTTTTGGCAAAATAAAATCCCATATTTGTTAGGTGTTTTACTAGGTAAAAACCTCTATTTGTTAGGAGAGGTTTATTTTATTTAGACTTCTAGAGTTGCTGCTGTTTTCGAGGTTGACACAGAAGATGCTACAGCACGGTGCTGCAACACACTGTTCGGGAGCAAAGGTTTGAGCACGGGATTTTAAGCTGCAATCTGAATTAGAGACCTATTGGGATTGTGATTACATGATAATAACTCCAGCGGTACATGCTAAGGAATCCCAACTCTTTAGGCTACTTGTGGATTAAGATTAAGGAAGTAGAGTTCAAGCCAAATTTTACTATCTTATTCCTACTAGGATTGTGTTAAGAGGAGCCTATAAAAACAGAGCAGGTCCCTGGGAATTACTTGGAGCGATTGAGAGGGAAAACAAAGAATATACGCTGATGTAGAGCATTCCCGTCGCGTCCTGGAGCTTCCCATGCGTGAAGAAGGTAGCGATCTACATGAAGGAGGATATTTTCAACGCCAAACTGATCGTGACATCCAGAAGTTAAAATAGAGCTGAACGAGTGGGCTGTCAACACGTTTGTCCTCGTGATCTCGGTGGAGATGTGATAGCCGAAGCGGATCTGAACAGAGTTCGGGTTAGAAATCTTAGATTAGAAGTTTTGTCAAAACAATTCGGAGAAGAGTGTCTCATCATGTTGTTATGCACCGGTGTAACTTGCATCTAGTGATTTAGTGGAGGGCTATTATACGGACGTGGGCCCCGCAGATTAGGAGAGTTTGTAACACCCTAATCCGTCCAGGTTTACAACCCCTTCCGAACTAAAGTATTAACTTGGTAATCGTATAATTTAAAACATTTCAAATAACTTTATTCATCATAAATGAAATTCCAAACATAATTGTAGTAAATACGGAGTGTTTAATGCGGAAGCGATTTTTAAACATGATTCATAATAACATAATCATTTATTTTCTCAATAAATCCACCACGACTGTCTCACCCCTTCCGCTGCCAAGAACATGCCATTCACTCATTCTGTCTACCTGCGTGTAGCAAATAAAACATACTACACGCTCAGCGATGAAGCTGAGTAAGCATATCTAAAGCGTCGAACATCCAAATAAATTGAATCTCAATTCATAATCAACCATTTGATATCATGCACACAATATATGATTCAAACATTCATGATATTCTCAATATTTTATTCCAAGTCATTTGATATTCAATATCTCAACCATGCTCTTAAATTATTCTTAATCTAAGGCCAAATCATTTTATAACAAGCTCTTAGCTATTCCTAGTCTAAGACAACATTTCTAACCAGGCCCTTAAACTA